TAATGTCTGATGTTTCACTAAAAAATGACTTTTTTTTCAATACACAAAATGTCCACAGCATTCATCTAAATAGAAATTAATATTAACAATAAAATTTGAATCCAATTATTATATATTGATGTTTCAATAAATAGTTTAGGGTGAATCAGAGAAAGTATTTTAAAATTATGAGCTCTTCCACCATGGTTTATTAAATATATATTAGGTTAAAAGTGAACTAAAAATCAAACACACAAATTAATTAAATAGTAATATAATTTTCGGAAATAGCCAGGGAAAACAACATTTATCAATAAATAAATATTTTACTTACTGAAAAAATAGAAATATATATAAATCCTACTGTATCTCACTGATTAGAAGAAGCTATCAGTAATTCTTTTACTTTTTTATTATTTTAATTATTATTTATTTTTTTAAAGTGTGTTCAAGCGCCAGCAGAAAACAGTGTAAAGAAATACTCTTTGAGAGAAGCAGTCTTTATCAGCGGAAGTTAAAAGCAGCTTGTAAGTGTATTTACTTGTCTCATTAGTGTTTAGTGCAGTTGTCGTTGCTAGGAAGCTTCTGTTGTCCTCATTTGTAAGTCGCTTTGGATAAAAGCGTCAAATTACTAAATAAATAAATAAAAACATAAATATCAGCAACTGTACCTAATTACATATTTGGGTTTCTGAATAAAACTGAGGTGTATGAGTTCCATATTTTCACAATATTCTACTGTGCGAGTCGTAAAAGCCTGATGTATCAAATATTATACTCAACAAAAACACGTAGCAAGAAGTGCGTCCCAAATCGCATACTTATGCACTATTCTATGACGTTTTGTAGTATAAATAGTGCGAGTAGTGCGTTCACACTGAAAAAGACAAAAAGTGCACTTTAAATACCCGGATGATGCACTTAAAGCAGCACTATGTAACTTTTGGCGCTCTAGCTGTTAATAAACAGAACTGCACACATCCCGCGGAAGAACATTCCAACCGGAGCTACTTCTCTAAGTTTATGTCTATGGCGATTCACGCAGGTATGTGTTACTCCGCAGCGGTGACGACCCGACCAGGCTACAATAGTCCAAATATAAGTACTTATTATAAGTGTACCGCAGTGATTCGGAATAAGACAAAAACGCGGTTTGGAAGATCAATTCATGATGTACTCGCTCATTATATACATTTTGCAAATTTTGAACAAAGAAAAAGTTACATAGTGCTGCTTTAAATAACCGAAAAAACGAAGTGTGGAATGCTGGACACTAATGCACTCAAACTGTCGCAGCTTTAATTACGTAGCGAGGGGGGAGGGGCTACCAGACTCCGATTATGAATGACAAAATAACCATATATAATTAATACACTACATGATTGAGTACATAGTGTATAAGTGCGTCATATGGGACGCAGCTACATTTTTTTTTTTTTTTTTTTAAAGATCTGTCTAGTTTTCATATGTCAGGATTCGAAGGGTTAAAATTCCAGCAATTCATTCTATTTCCACAATTTAGAATTACAATTTTACATCCCGTCTGTAAGCTCAATTCAAATTCAGACTGTGTGAACGGTGTGCGTGTCAGTACTTACTGAAAGGCCATGGCTCCTGCCTCTAAAGTGCAGCGCGCAGGACTCTGATCGTTGAGTTTTCTGCAGAGCTGCTTGGCTTGACTCTGATACTTCTGTAAGTCTCGCCCTGACTGGAAAGAGCTTCACGTTAGAAACTCAAAGCACTGTACAATCACAACAGCAAAACAAACGAGCAATAACAAAGACGCTGTAAGATCACATCATGTGTTTTAACTTTGTACAAATGTTGTCGTTAGTCGTGTTGACATGGGTTCGTTCACACCTGCTCGTCCTCTTGCATTGATGCAGCGAGCGGCAGACTGTCGGCGACACGAACAATCATCGTCAGCAGCACCATTTCGCCTGTTGTCTTTGCTCTTTAACTTCGGTCTGTTTTGAAGCGAAGCGATTGATTGTTTGGCTGAATGGCAGAAAGTGACACATTTGAACTGACGGCAGAGTTCAGATGAGTTGGCCGGAAGAGGGTGTGTTACCTCAAATCCTTTCCGGCTTTCGCATTCCAAAGGTTCCGATTATTTATTTATTGATTGATTTAATTATGTATTTATTTATTCAACACTATAGAAATAGAAAAAAGACAACAGACAAGAAAAAGAAATAAACAATTAGAAATGGTACTACAATTACAACAAACGTCCAAAAGAGATATAGCTGATTTTTTTTTAGCATGAAATCCAAAAATATTATTAGCTTATATACACAATAAAGGGAATATTTGTAGAAATTTCTATTTCTTTAAAACTAGAATATATATATATATATATATATATATATATATATTAGTGCTGTCGCCCTTTATGCGAGGCTCCAGCTGGACATGCCGCATGTCTGCTCTGATTGGATGATTCTCATGCACGAGAAATGACGTCTTCCTGCAATTATAAAAGTCTGCTCTTATGAGACACTCTTATGGTTTAAAACTGGTGACCGTGTTAAAATATACCTTTATATATAATATGTGACCCTGGACCACAAAACCAGTCAGAAGGGGCTTTTTTTTTTTATTGAGATGTATACATCATCTGAAAGCTGAATAAATAAGCTTTCCATTGATGTATGGTTTGTTAGGATAGGACAAAATTTGGCCGAGATACAACTATTTGAAAATCTGGAATCTGAGGGTGCAAAAAAAAATCTAAATATTGAGAAAATCGCCTTTAAAGTTGTCCAAATGAAGTTCTTAGCAATGCATATTACTAATCAAAAATTAAGTTTTGATATATTTACGGTAGGAAATTTACAAAATATCTTCATGGAACATGATCTTGATTTTTAGCATAAAAGAAAAATTGATAATTTTGACCCATACAATGTATTGTTGGCTATTGCTACAACTATACCCGTGCTACTTGTGACTGCTTTTGTGTTCCAGAGTCACAAATACATTTGCCAATTTTAGTATAACGATTATGATGGAATGTTATGGTAGTATTTGCCTATTTAAAGGGATAGTTCTGCCGAAAATGATAATTCTGTAAAAAAAATTTTTTTACTTTTCTTAAATTTTATTTCAAGGTAACAGTGTATGTCATGATATAGTCATTTTTGCTTTAAACAAGGTCTTTATGATATCAAAATAAAAAAAGCACTCAAGCTCACTGAAGTAAACAGTCTGTGATTAAATAAGAATAAGAAACTAATTACAAGCCATAAGACAAATTAAAAACTATTAATAAATTCTACATACATTGTATAACATAATCAACTGTATAAAAACACTGCATATTCTTCACTATGTAAATTAAATGTTTTTTTGTTTTTTTTAGTAAAGTTACAAATGTGATTTAGTCAAGAGCAGTGAGAGATTTTCTCTTTTGTTGTTTGATTAACATGAATGACTGCTGTCACTTTAAGAGCTGCCCGGATCCAATATACTGTTAAACGTTTTTATATGATTGTCCATTAACATTCAAGTCAGTGGTGGTGTCCGATGTAAAAATGTAGTGCTACAACTGAAAATATTCAGCTAAAGCAGGGGGGAAAAAAAACATCTAATAAAAAAAGCACTCAAGCTCACTGAAGTAAACAGTCTGTGATTAAATAAGAATAAGAAACTAATTACAAGCCATAAGACAAATTAAAAACTATTAATAAATTCTACATACATTGTATAACATCAACTGTATAAAAACACTTCATATTCTTCACTATGTAAATTAAATGTTTTTTTGTTTTTTTTAGTAAAGTTACAAATGTGATTTAGTCAAGAGCAGTGAGAGATTTTCTCTTTTGTTGTTTGATTAACATGAATGACTGCTGTCACTTTAAGAGCTGCCCGGATCCAATATACTGTTAAACGTTTTTATATGATTGTCCATTAACATTCAAGTCAGTGGTGGTGTCCGATGTAAAAATGTAGTGCTACAACTGAAAATATTCAGCTAAAGCAGGGGGGAAAAAAAACATCTGTTTCTGCAAAAGCAGTTTTGGAGGGCTGAAATAATTGCCCGAAATGGTGATGTTTGAAGCGTTTTGACTTTGAATAATCTACAGGTAAATTAGTAGCAATAACAAACCATAAGGTAACAATAACAAAAAATTATGCTAGAGTAGAAACAAGTAAAATTTGTATATATCTCAGTCTGCCAAGAACTGATTTAATATTACCCAAATGTAATTTATTTATTGAAACTTTGTTTTCGGTTTCAGTTTTCAGCTTTAATTTATATTTCAATATTTCGGTAAACAAAAAAAAATCGATGCATCACAGTAAAAACATTTACTTTTTTTCTCTCAAAGACAAAAGAAAGTTATACAGGTTTGGAACAACTTGAGAATGAGTATCAAAAAAATTATTTTTGATTTCTTTTTTGAGATTTTGCTAAATACAAAAATCTCAAAAACTACTTGCCAAACTTCCATTTTGACATTTTGAAACATGACATTTTTCAAATCGGTTAAAATCATATAAACATTGTTTCTTACTCTCAAAAAATGCTAATATATATATATATATATATATATATATATATATATTTCAAGTTGGCCCAGCCATTTACTTCAAAAATGCGAACTTGTTTCCAGGATTTAGGATTCGTTCCTGCATCCCTCTATTGGCTGTTCCCGCTTCTCCTATTCATTGTAATAGCAGTGGTCCATCTCAGCTACACACAGTCTCTGGTTAAGCTCATTTATATTTGTTATAGACCATTAGACATGGAAGCCTGCCCGAAACCAGTGTTCTTAGGAGGAACTTTGATACACAGAAGCAATGTTTAGTCATTGACTGACTGGACAACAAGCTGCACAATCTAGGCCACTTCTGGTTGTCAGATGTCCATAGTTAATATGGCCAAACTGTACCTGCAGTTACATGCAATGACATTATTAATGGTTTAGTGTCCAAAGCATCTATAGGAATTGTTTTATTTCCCCAAGTATCTTTTCAAAAGATTTTGTTCCGAGTCATTTTCATAGTTATGTGTAACTCATATGACCCTGTGTTTACGTTATATATGTTTAATCTTCACAAAGCTGTTTTTTTCTTACGGGTTCATCCCACCATTTCTAATCTATTTCTAATGACTGATGTCCAAACGCACCAGCATCCGCTGCTCAGGCCAGTGTCCCGTTAACCCAAATTCATATCAGCTGCTCAGCACGAGCAGGAAACATACATGTGACACACCCAGATATGAAATTGAAGTTGAGCGTTTATCAGTATAGATACACTAAGCTCCATGTTAGACTACATGCCACTGTGTTATTGTATGTTTATGTAGATTGCTTTGTTTGAGTACTAAATGCTTGTGTTTTTGCTGCAGAACTCATGCCTGTGTTGGGTCAGGTGCAGTAGAGAGTGCCATGCAGGAAGGAGAGGAGAGGAAGTGAGGAGATGGGCTGCACCTCAGCCAAGCAGTTGTCATCTGTACCCAGTGATGAAGAGGGCCGGGGTAAGGCCTACAGCAATGGAGATGCCTTCTCCGGTCAGTGTCCCAGCTGTGTGTCCACAGATATTCACTGTAGATAATGTGATATAGAGCTGGAGTCAGTGTTGAATTTCACTGAAAACTCCAATTTGGTACCTGACTTAGAATTGACTGCATATATTGAGTGAACTGGGTGCAAAATTTAATTTTATTCCATTTGAATTCTTTAAATTGTGTATTAAATTGCAGTATAATATTACTCATAAACATCTTATTATACATGCAATATGAAATATATATTATATATATGTATTGATCAAATGTGACAGTAAAAACGTTTTCATTGTTATAAAAGATTATTTCCAATAAATTCTGAGAATGCAAAGAATCCTAAAAAATGTTTCTTGAGCAGCAAAGCAGCATATTTGAATAATTTCTGAAGGATCATGTGACATAGGACAGAAAAAGAAAAATGGAACACCGATATAGATCTAAACGAACTTGAGAAGTGGTATAATTTTGAAGCTCTTGCTCTACAGTTTATAACAAATCAACTTTTACACTCCTATTAGTGTAAGTGGTGATTTAGCAGGTGCTTTTATCCAAAGTGAATTACAGTTCAGTTATTAACGACAGTGTCTCTGGAGTGACCTGGATTTAACTGCCCTTAAAACAGTGATGACAGGTCATGCCTTGTTCTTCTGGGGTTGAATAATCAACATAAAATAAAAACGTACCATGTTTACTTTCTTACTATGTTACTGGTGTTACTGTACATGATTCATAAATGCAAGTTATTTCAAAGAAATGTCTTTGTGAGTATTGGTGGTAATTCGGGATTATTTTGTTAAATATGTTGTTTAACTCCGAAAGATCACATTACCGAAGTAAAATGGATTAAGAATCCTGTGTCCAGGTGATTTCAAGTGTACTCTTTCTGTTTAGATGAGTACAGAGTGAAAGGAGTTGAGAAGGTGAAGTACATGCATGGAGAAGAGGAGCGCACGAACACACAAAACCAAGAGAACTTGGTAAAGATTGATACATAGTATTATGTATCTCCAAATAGTCACAAATAATCATAGTATCCTGTAGAACATAAATTTTTCCTCTTTATGTCTTGCAGGAAAAGAGCACATTTTTGCACAAGGGCAGGCACAAAGATGCCACCGGGAATAGTAATAAGATAAGGTGAGTATGTGTTTGGTTTCTGCTCTAGTATTCAGTAATGGAGAGATGATGACCAATGAGATGTTCACCAAGCCTTCATTGTTCCTCAGTATCCACTCTTCAGAGAGCCAGCAGGAGTTCTTCAGGATGCTGGATGAGAAGATTGAAAAGGTAATTGAAGTAGCATCACTATTACTATTGCTCAAAGGTTGAGAGGCTTTCTCAAGTCCCTAAAGCCCATGGTATACTTTGGTATTACACTAGGGCATGTGATGTAAATTTTATTACAATCATAGTATGCATATACTGTACACCCGCAGCGTTTTCTAACCATGTGTTCACATGCGCCCTTTAATTTTTTCACACTTTACACATTGTTTGTCCTATGCACACTAAATGGAGTATACATGGAAAGGCTATGTGGTCAGCTGTATGTTTGCGCCAAAACTGAAGCATACTTCAGGCTTAAGCATTTGTGTAAAAACTAGAGTATACTTTAGGGATTAAGTGTTTGTGTAAAAACCGAAGTATACTCCAGGCTTAAGCATTTGCGTGAAAACCGAAGTATACATTAGGCTTAAAGGGTTAGTTCACCCAAAAATGAAAATTAGCCCATGTTTTACTCACCCTCAAGGCATCCTAGGTGTATATGACTTTCTTCTTTCAGACGAATCCAATCGGAGTTATATTAAAAATGATCCTTGCTCTTCCAAGCGTTAGAATGGGAGTAGGCGGGGGGTTTTTTTCAACAGTCCAAAAGTAGTCAAATAAAGCACATCCATCCATAATAAAACGTGCCTCACATGGCTCCAGGGGGGTAAATAAATGCCTCCTATAGCAAATCGATGCGATTTTGTGCGAAAAATATCCATATTTAAAACATTATAAACACTTTTCTCTGTGTAAAACTGTGTAAAAACCAAAGTATACTTCAGGCTTAAGGATTTGTGTAAAAATTGAAGCTCAAAGTATACTTAAACATTTGCGTAAAAACCAAAGTATACTTTAGGCTTAAGCGTTTGTATAAAAACTGAAGTATACATTAGTCATAAGGGTTTGCATAAAAACCCGAAGTATAGTTCAAGCTTAAGCGTTTGTGTAAAAACCGAAGTATACTTTAGGCTTAAAGATTTGTGTAAAAACCAAAGTATACTTTGGATTTAAACGTTTGCGTAAAAACCGAAGTATACTTTATTAATATTAATATCTTTAACTTTAAACTATAACATAGGCTGATTATTCTTATAGATTGAAACAAAAGTGCTTCAGCCAAGATAAAGAATATGAAAAGTGCTCAGAGTTACTGCGGAAAACAGAAAAAAGAGAGTGAGCAACAATGAAAACATGTTGCTGGAGAGGGGCTCATTGAAAATGCAAATTCATTCTCTGCCAGCAGGAGGTGCTTTTGTAGCGGCAGAAGCAGCGGCTTCCCCGGTAACGGCTATAAACAAAGCAGCGCTGCGCTCATAAACGCTACTTTATCAGATAAAATGAAAATGCCATCGAAACTTTTCTGAAGACAGTCGGTTCCATTCAAAGATTCATTCATATAAAACACCCGTGCCGCATTTTGATTTTGAAACGAGCAGTGCTCATGTTTATTCTACAAAGTCAACCACCACAAATAAATCTATGTATGGGAAACACTGGTGATGTATATCGAAATATCGGAAATGTGTTTAAAAATCTTATCGCCGTTATTAAAAAAATTATATTGCGATATATATTGATCTTGAATTATTGTCCAGCCCTACTTTGGGCTTAAGCGTTTGCGTAAAAACCAAAGTATACTTTAAGCATGTGTGTAAAAACCATAGACTGTAAAAAAAAACATGGACGTAGTGTCTGTGACGTCACCCATAGGTTTCTAAAGAGTGTTTTTGAAGCTCAAAGTGGGCGGAGCCGGCTGTCACCATCTTGGCAGTGCGTCACTCAAAAATGGGCAAAGAGGCGGAAGCTGGTTGCTGAAACCATGCCCACCTAGCTCGACGGTGGTGACTGCACCGGCAATCCACCTGTCACTCAAGTGGCCACGCCCTTAATTATGCAGAACTTTAAGGCGTAATATAATTTAAAAGGTTTCACGAGAGACCGGAAAGTTGCCTCTTGGTAAAAATTGAAGTATACTTTGGATTTAAGCGTTTGCATAAAAATCAAAGTATACTTCAGGTTTAAGTGTTTGTGTAAAAAACAGAAGTATGCTTTGGGCTTAGGTGTTAGCATCAAAATAAAAGTTCACTTCAGCTTAGGGCTGCACGATAAATCGCATGCGATATTTAACGCGCATCTTGTCAGAAAAGCCGGTTCTGTAATCAGTGGTAAATCTCCATCACGTGCGTGCTTTCACATTGAGCAGCATTAACTACACAGAGCCGTTGTTCTCTGACGAACTGCGCAAAACCACGTTCATATTCGCGCGATTTTTTGCGAAAGCACGCACGTGATGGAGATTTACCACTGATTACAGAACCGGCTTTTCTGACAAGATGCGCGTTAAATATCGCATGCGATTTATCGTGCAGCCCTACTTCAGCTTAACCATTAGTAATACACTTCAGAAAATGTCTATTTTAATTGCTGTTTTTTTTTTTTTTTGAGGTACCTTCCCTTATAATATGACTCTTACATTTACAGGGACGGGACTACAGTTCAAACGACGAGGATATGACATCGCATGCTGAGACGTTTGACTCACGCCAACATTGAGTCAGTCCTGTCCCAAAGTTCTTTACACTTGCTTTCCATGCCTCCTTACCCAACAAGTATTAATCTTCAAGAGAGTGGGTTCAAGTGACATTCAATCCAGTTATCTACTCCGTTTACAATCTACACACTCTCCCAAATGTCTTACAGGTCAGTATTTGGGACTCTTAAGGACTAGAATTTAAACCGTATGGGGGCATGGAAAGGCCATGGTTAAGGAGACTGGGATTTGGCGCAAGATTTGAATGGGAAAGCCATTTTCAGACTGTTCCTCAATCCCTTGCCTTACACTACCCATAAGCCTTTCTCCTACTCGTACATAGAGTGGAGAGAGCCATGCTGAGAATCCTGGATTTCACCCTCCCTTTGACATGGACACTACACACGCTGGACTAGCAGTGGAGATGATATCTCCTAAGGAGGACATACCTACCGAGAGACTTGCGTGATTCTGTCCAGCTCATGCTGTTGAGACACAGTAGGTGAAAGAGTATGGACAGAAACACAAGACCATTTCTAGCATTCCAATTGTTTTTTTAACAAAGTATTTTTCACCCACAGTGTATTATGTATATGTCTTTTTGACCTTTTTCTTTGAGTTATGTTACAACGCTCAGGACAGCAGTGCTGTATGAATCATCACTAGATTTGTTGGTTAGATGAGGGCAGTGCAGTTCCTTCAGGGCCGGTCTTGAGGACGTGTTGGGTGGTGGAGATAGATCACAGCATCTAGCCGTGTTTAGAGATGCCAGTTACAGCATCTTAAAAGGGTCCTATTATGCTTTTTCACATCTTCAACTTTAGTTAGTCTGTAATGTTGCTGTTTGAGCATAAAAAAGATCTGCAAAGTTACAAAGCTCAAAGTCCAATTCAAAAGGAGATATTTTATTCAACAGAAATCACTTTTCAAAAACTACAACGAACGGCTCATTTGGACTACAACGCATATTTTCCGGGATTTGTGATATCAAAGGACGAGACCTGGTTGAGCTGCACTAAAGAAGGCAATGAGTGTTATCACTATATCAGAGACGAGCTAGTTTTCCCAAGGCAGACGAACTTAGAGTGATTACAATCATCCGGGTTTAAATCGC